CCCTGCTGCGGTCCGGGGTCTGCTGCGGGGAGCGGAGGCAGTCGGGGAGCGGAGACAGTCGGGGAGCATCTTTGCAGGACTGAAATCTGGGAGATAGGGGTATTGTAGTAACTTCGGGCACGGGCAGGAGCGGCGGCGGTTGGGAGGCAGAGACCGCGGTGTTCCCATCTCGCACACGCAACCGGTGATGCGCGAGTGGCCAAAACTCGCCTTCCTCCAGAGACGCTTCAGATACCTCACTACCCAGTTATTGCCGGTATCTTGTGTGCGTCTTCCTCCTATCACGTCTACAGCAGCAGCCTGAGATATGAAAATAATCACAACAGGGCTTTCCCATTCCCCTTCCTCCCTCTGCCCAGTGGGCAGCTATTCCAGCTTAATTCAAGATGAATGCTGTGTGACTCGCAAATAGCTCCCGTCAGGTTTTTTAGGTTCCCTGTATTCTGTGGAAGGGGTGAAGGGGCATACAGTGACCGCCAACAGTGGCCATTTCTTTCTGCGCCTCTGTTGCTTGCACAGAATGGGGGTCCTGTTGGCCCTTCCGAAATGCATAGTCCAGAAAAATGATGGAGACAAGTGTGAGGGATTTACTGCACTCGCTGGAATTCAATAAGAATAATAAACTATGCTCCTGGAGAGGAGGAGAAGGAGAATCCTACCATGTTCTCCAAACATTCAGTAACCGAGCCTCTGCGTCGTGGACGTGAATGTCCTCATATTTGTCCGACGGTTAATGCTGCCATTCAGAGCTGAACCAGGCATGAAACTTCTCCTGCCAGCTGTCTTCCTTCTCTGCAGCATGCTCCCACCCTGTCCACTTTATACTCTAATGAGCTGCAAAAATCCATTAGGAGTAAGACAAGCCCAGCATTTATTCCTAGCCGTCAGAGGTGGCAAGGGTTAATAAAAGACATCCGTATTTGTTGGATAGCTACAGATAAAATTTGGACCCTGCTATTTAGGCCACTTACTTTCTCCCAGCAGTGCTGTCCCACATTCAAACTAATTAATAGCAAGATCTATGCTGTGTAACGACTGCAGGAGCGGGATCATGTTTAGAAACTGCACAACCTTAAATATGTTGATTGCTGATGTCCTCATTTCATTGAGTTCTGTCAAGAACTCTCTTCTCAGAGCACCACAGTTCAAAAATGATATGCACAAATGATATCTTTTTCCATCTTCTGCTGAAAAAAGTTTGATTCCTTGCATATTGTATTTACAGTTTTAAGCTACAGATTTTCCTTTTCAGATCTACATCAGTAATTAAAATTACTAACTCCTTTCTAGCACAAAACCTAATTTATATTCAGCCCTAAATGACAGTATTGTTTTCCTATTCATCCTAAAACAATTGAACACTGGATCTTTAGATAGGAACAAGTATTACACATGCTCTTTCTCATAGAAAATGAGTGAATTTCTAACTAGTCTCAGGAAGCCTCCATGGCTTTCTCCCTGTGGTCTTCAGACCTGGGGATGCATCACACCATTCAGAAAAGGTAATTAAGATGCCTAAGTCCATTATCAGGTGGCTGAAATTCTATCTACAGGGGTCTGCATTTGAAATATTTAGGAAATACTCACTTCTCAAACTGAAAAACACTGAAAAGTCGCTGTTCTAAGTTGCTGTGTGCAACAAGCCAGAAGATTGTTCTAGAAGAAAGATCAGTGTATACAGGACAAGGTTTGTACATGTAGGTAATAGCTTTTTTCAGACCAACTGGTGTAGAAGGAAAAGTAGACAAATTTCTGGGCTAACAAGCTATTTTTTTGGTTCTGAAGCAGTAACTACCAAAGCTAAATGGAACTTGAGAACAACTGCTTAGAGCTTAGATAGGGATGTATCAGTGAGACCAGCTTAGAAAGAAAAAGTGGGAATGGGAATGGATAGGGTGTTGTGGGGGGAAGAACGAAGGCTGAGAGCCGATAAGTTCAGGAAAGTTCCTAGGACTTGCTGGTTTTAACTGTTCAATGTTTTTTCACATAACAGAAAATCCTGTGTGGAAAGAATCTTCCCAGAAGCACTTGTCCTACATTTCAAGCACCCCAAACCACAGAACTCATCATTAGAAGCATAATCTCTGTGGTCCAAAACACCAGATCAGTTTGAACCATGCCTGAGCAAGAAACGTTAAGATGTGTTGATGCCCATCCGCTACTACAGCAATGAACGCCCCCTGCCATCAAACCATCAGCATCCTCTGATCTTACATTTGCAGTTTCAGGACTGTAACATACTTCATCCTGTGCACTGCTGCCTTTCTGGTAGTTTTGCTGCTGAAAACAACCACTCGGCACCAGCATGAACTCCCAGAGATGCTCTTTATAGACCAAAACACTGTGCGGTCGGTGAGGGAGAGCTTCTCACAAAGCAGGGCATTCTCCCTCTGATCTTTGAGTCCTGATCCTTAAGGGAAACTACAGAACTTGTCCCACAGAAGTGAGCATGGGAACTAGGTTTCCTAACTCTGCCCAAAACCCAAAACTGGGGACTCGGTACTGGTAGTAGTTTATAATTTCCCTCTGCATCCATCCCCCTGCTTACCTCTCTCCAGATCAACAGACTGTAAGGTAATTGTCCCTCCTTTTTGCTTAGCTAATAAACGTCACTCTTTCTCCCATCCTTAACATCCTCTGCATCATTAGCATCATTAACGTCCTCTCTATTTTACAGCTACCATCTTCTTCCTTTCAGAGCTGGCTTAATTAATAAATATTTTAGTAAATGTTAAGCAATTGTTCTTACGTGAGACCTGCAGCTGGTGTTTCTAACCTGAAGAAAAGTTCGTATGGCCAAAAGTTTGTCTAATTTTTCCACCCGTATGTCTTGGTCTAATAAAAGATACTACTTCTTCATACAACCCTAGTACTGCACATCACATCCACAAGAGACTGTCACTGTGTGTCTGCCTTGTTCTTTTAATGATTCCTTAGGTATTCACCGTGGGTGACGGTGGGAGAGAGGAGACTGGACTGGATGCCGCCTTTGCTTGGGTCAATGCAATGGTAATCATGTTCTTACACAGAGAAATAGTGTCTTTCTTAAAGCACAGGCGCTCTTCTTTCCCCTTCCCATGGAAATACAATCTTCCATTCTAAGAGAAAGCAGAATTTGGACATTAAAATCATACCTTAAAAGAACTTCTATTTCAAAACAATGTGCTGTTGTTACTTGTTACAGTAGCCACTAGGGGAAATTAGGACTCTGGCACGTGGGAAGTGTACTGAGTTTTGTTGTCTTATATCGTTTATATCCCGGTAACATCCTCACTATGCTGCTGTCCTCAGGGGGCGGGGGCGACACAAATCTTTGGCCAAAAAAATGAAACTGTGTAAATTTTAAGTTTTGGAAAGAAAGTAAAAAGTAGTTGAAGTATTTTCTTGTTTTCCTCTAAGTGGCTGGCAGAAATAGGATAGAGTGAATGCTTCCTTTCCACAGCATTTAAGGAAAACTTGTTTCTCCAGAGTAAATTATTCAGCTTTATCTCAC